GTGTGTAACTGAAGTATAAAGGGTTTAAATCTCGACTGATTACAGTTTTGACAGTCGATTAGCCAGTGTTGATACTTTGCGAGGTATACTGACTTTCCAGCATCACTGGGAAAATAAAATAAAATATTAAATACTGACTGGTATTGACCTACATGGTCTTCTATTGATTTATGATCAGACTATAAAGACCGGTTGACATGTACTAGTCCAACTGATATTTGAAGCCTTGTGGAAAGCAATAAAAAAAAAAAACATGATTATGTTAAGAATATTCGATAAACAGGAATCAGCTTATATGAGAAACTAGTGTTGCAAGTATGAGGACCTTGGGGTGGATGCTTGTTTTAAAGAGAAAGATAAAACAAGGAAATGCAAATTATGCACTTATTGAGGATACTTCTGTAGAAATTGGTCCTTGTTTTATTGTGGAAACAAGGATGATTGTGGAAAGCTAATTGTTTTAACTATAGAGCTAGATATATCTTTCTTGAACAGGAGATCGATAAGAATTCTAGCAATATCCTCTTGGCTGGGTACTTCTCCAACCAGTGTTGCATCAAGTTTCTTGACATTCTCTAGTATGATAGTTTTGTTTCTTAAACGTTTTAGGTAGAACCAATTGAGAATGACATGAGAAGTTATTTATGCTGGTCTGACATGCCTAATTAGACCATTAAGAACACTGGTAAGGAGAATGTGCTAAAGAAATAAGAAGTTGAATAAGGAGATGTTCAGACAAATTCGATTAGAAACTTGAGAAAACTATGAAGGAATTTGATGACCCTAAGGATTATTTGAGGCATAGTTTGCAAGATTGTCTAACAGGTTTGTGTTTGGTTATGAATGATATGATCAACATCGTTAAGATCGTCAATAAATGATCGACTCTATTCTTCACTTTTCCCTCCTTGTATCCTTCCGTCTTTATCTTACATTATGGTGGTTGAATGGTGGTACATGGTAAATGCAATGGTTTTAACATAATGCTAATACTAGCATTGTATTCTCTATCTCACACTCATAGTTGTAGATATTCTTTTCCTTCTTGTTCTATATCCCTTCCTCCCTTTTTGAGGCTGTGAGACAATAAAAAATCTGCAAAAAACTGCTAATTCTGGATAAGTTTGATGGACTATAGCTGGTTCCGTTGATTCTAATCGGGTGTATCATACTGGAATTAGCTGATGCTGTGAAGTGTGAACTATGATTAGAGGGCATTCTTTTTTTGATTTGTTTAGCTAAGTAGTTGAAAGTTATTGATTTGTTTTACCTTAGATATGATTTCTCTTTCTGTTTTTCATTGTGCTGCATTGTAATAAGTGGTTGCAAATTCTTGTTGTTGTCATAGAAAAAATGTAACTTTTGACTTTCATGTTATATGTTACATCTCGAGATCTCCTAAAAAAAATCACAAATTCATGACGAAGCAATTCATTATTTTTGTTGTGACTGGATACTTTTTACATTTAAATGCAAAGTAATTGAATACTTTTTACAGTATACTTGTTAGACCAATCAATCATTCTGATTAAGTCAATAAATGCAGATCTTAAACTTGACTGAACTAGAGATTAATAGGGTGGATATCCGTGTTGGACTATCTGGAGCATTGTACTTTATGGATGGGTCACTTCAGGCAGTTCGGCCGCTAAGAAATCTTGTCTCACAGGTATTTTTTGGGACCCTGCTAATTTTCTTAGAGTTTGCTTCTGTAATTTTCCAGTTGATGCTTATTTTCCTTTGACTTTGCAATTTGTTTTACCTTGCTATCACTTGTTGATGTGTATTTGTGGCACATAGATGCTTTAAAAAAAACTGCTTTGTTGGTATCTGTTTGTACTTGCACTTGCACATGCACATGCATACATATTACAATATATGCTATATATACATATATGTGCCTCTCCATAAATTAGTTTTATCTACTTCTAGTTTCATTTTTAGGTGTTAAAACATATCTTTCAAAATCTTTTCAACCTGAATAAATCAGCACTTTTAAGCCTATAGTGCTAGAGTACGTTTTAAGTTTTTTCATGTTGTCATATTACTTTAGTGGAAAGAAATTACATATTCTCCCAATTTTTCATGTTCTTACTGCAATGCTATGGCAAAGCCTTTAGAGAAGACACTAGTATGCACTCGGCATTAATTTCTTTGTACTGTAAGTTACAAAGTTGGGTTTAATTATATATAATTGCATGATAAGATCCAATTTTCTCATTAATACCTATCATTAATTGTGAAGAGCTATTGTGTTGAAGAACTGTAATGATTTAGTGTATTAGTGGATGAATGGCCTAATTTATATGACAAAATAATTATAAGAGATGTTACCTTCCAGTGCCACATCACAATGATATCTATGTGTGAGTCTGGACATTTTTGAAGCAGTTCTTTCTCCTTTTATACAGTCTCCATTGCTTAATTTGATTGGTTGGAATACATTACATGTGAGCATGTTTTGTTTTGGCTCATTTTTACTTTTAGAATGTGAATCAATTTGAATACTTTTTTGGTGCATATAAGACAAAAGTGTATCTATCTACTTATGATAATATTTAGATTAATGTTGTAGCCTCACTTGAAATTTGTTTATATTAGGATCCAGTCCTTAGCAGCGTCACTGTTGGCGTTTCACACTTTGAGAGATGTGCTCTTTGGGTTCAAGTTCTTTATTACCCTTTCTATGGAAGTGGTGTTTCTGGAGATTATGAAGGAGATTATGCAGAAGAGGATTCTCAGATTTTGCGGCAAAAGCATTCCCAGAAACCAGAACTTGGAGAGCCTGTAATCTTACGGTGTCAGCCTTACAAGATCCCACTAACAGATCTTCTTTTGCCACATAAATGTTCTCCTGTTGAATATTTTCGCTTGTGGCCAAGTTTACCGGCTATATTGGAGTATACAGGTGCATATACTTATGAAGGAAGTGGTTTTAAAGCCACTGCTGCACAACAGTATGAGGCTTCCCCATTCCTCAGTGGGCTCAGATCACTCGCATCTAAGCCTTTCCATCAAGTCTGCTCACACTTCATCCGCACAGTGGCAGGCTTTCAGGTAAGTCCTAGATTGTTTTATACTTAGTTCTATAATTTAGAATACTCTTCCTATTAAACTGCATTTTTTCATCTTATACATGCAGTGTCTTTAGAAGCATAACGAGTATACAACAACGATAAGAAGCCATAATTTGGAAAAGAAAAAAAAGAAGAAAAGAAAGCCATAATGACCCACTTGTTTTGGGATGGCTGCATGGATTTTTTCCAACCATTGAGCTCTGTCTAGGGCACTTTCGCTAGCTAAATTAAGAGTTCCTAATTAAAAAAAAAAAAATTCTCTTAGGTCTCCCTCTACTTTTCATCACCACTAATCCTAATTGATTCATCTCATTTAAACAATATTTATTTGTCTTCTTTGGGTATATTCGTAACACACGTGAAACATCTTTTGCTTCGTTTTATCTTTTGTATGAGTTATACTCAATGTTTATAAGTATAAATATGTATTTTTCTATTATTCCTAGTAAATTTATACATTCATCTCAACAATAATAACTTTTGGTATATGTTTTTCTAAATGCCCAACATTCTGATCTATCATGCATGGTTGACCTTGTTCCATTTTGTGAATGATTAATAAAATAATAATTATTGATCTTTTCAATCTTATAATCAAAATGCATATCCTGTTTCACCAGCAAGCATCTTCTAATGCCTTTGCAATTGTTGATTGAATTTTTTGGACTGTTCTGCTGATTGTAAAAGCAGTTTCTTATACATGGCTGACCTCGTATATTCTGATTTATCTCGACAGTTGTGCTATGCTGCAAAAACTTGGTATGGTGGTTTTGTCGGTATGATGATCTTCGGTGCCAGCGAGGTGAGCAGAAATGTGGATCTGGGAGATGAGACAACAACGATGATGTGTAAGTTTGTCATCCGAGCATCTGATCCATCAATCACAAAGGAAATAGGATCAGACCTGCAAGGCTGGTTAGATGATATTACGGACGGGGGTGTGGAGTACATGCCCGAAGAAGAGGTTAAGACTGCGGCTGCAGAGAGGCTAAGAATCTCCATGGAAAAAATAGCCCTGTTCAAAGCAGCCAAGCCACCTCCTCAGACTCCAAAGGTGGAAGAAGAAGAAGAAGAAGAAGATCAGAAAAAGAAAGAGAATGATGATGAGAATGGTAACCCTAAAGAACCCTCAACCTTATCAACTCTTACTGCAGAGGAAGTGGAACATCGTGCCCTTCAGTCCGCAGTTCTACAGGAGTGGCATATATTATGCAAAGAAAAAGCCGTCAAAGTTCAGTGACTTCTCATCATACTGCGTGATTTAGTGTTTGTTGATTGTAGAATTCCCTTCTGTTGTATACTGTGTGACTCATAATTTTGCTACACTTGTTGATATTTGTAGTCTTAATTTCCCTGTGAGTGTTCTCTGGAGACTTGCAACTCTCGTGTACTTTGTTGCGATCACAGTGCAAGCCGGATGATAATATCTTGTTTTAATCCACAAAATTATCATTCTGAGAAATGTCATTGTTGTTGAGAACTGTATATAATTATATACATATTACTAACTCTGATTCGAATTTGGTTTCCAATTAGTAGTATCATGATGGTTTGCATCAGATTGCAAATCTTAAAGCTACCAAATCCCATCTTATCATAATTCAATTCAAATCTGGATTCAGTCAGATATCATCATCCAATCTGTGCAAACCCAGTTTAGGTTCCATGATAGATAACAACACATAAGAACAACATGAGAGATGAAGGTTTGAGTTATGGAGACTGTCCCCATGCATTGACTCTCTTCGTAAATCTTCATGCCCCCGTATTAATGACAGTCGTATGATGATATATCACAAAGTATTACTTTTTCGGAATATGTGATCCACATGAAACTATTTGAGGCAGACGCCTCTGTTGTCTATTACGGGCTAATTAGAATTGGAATCCCCAAAGGGGGGGGGGGTGTATATATTTGAGACCCTAATCGTCAGGCCTTCCTCTTCATGCGAATCGCTACTGCTGCTGCTGCATAAATCAAAGGGTCAACTCCGACCACGATTCCGGAAACATAAACGCCCTCTTCCCTTCTTCCTCCGGTCCTTTCCCCCTTGTCCTAACCCCGCCGCCGTCTCCTCCTCCCACCTCGCCTCGCGCCCGCCCCCTGAATTCCGATAATTAAAGAAAAGCCCTCTTTTTAGATCTCCCGCACCGCCTCTCGTTCCTCTTGCCAGCGCGGGACTTCGAGTTTCCATGTTGTGACCTGCCCCTGCCCGTCGATCGAATCTGTCTGTATATGGATCGCGGCCGCCTCTCTGGCTGCGACTGTTGGATTGGAAGCGGTGGCGATCGCAGAAGAGAAGGGCCGGAGACCGAGTGGAAGGAGGCTCGCCCCTTGTCATGACATGGCCGCCTCCGGTGGTTCCCAGCACCGCTGCGTCTTCGGTCGGTTGGATTCCCCCTGTTTGGTCATCAGTATTATGTTGTCGATGTTCTGTCTTTTGGCTGCTCTCGGTGCATGTTCTCGTTGGCTTTGTATTTTTAGTTGCTTCGATAGGAAAGATCGTCTTTGAGCTGCTTTCTGTCTTCGATTCGGTTGCAAGTTCGGTTCTTGGAGTGTAACAAGGTTTTTCACTTCAATTTTTTGGGGTTTTGGCAGTTGGTAACATACCGTATGATGCAACGGAGGAGCAGCTTATTCAGATATGCGAGGAAGTTGGCCCCGTGGTGTCCTTCAGGTCTCCATTCTTGAAAACCCTAACAATCTTGATGTGTTGGAAGCTTACCTTTTTTTACTCGTTATGGTTCTCTATTGTTGTCCGTTTAACCTTTTACTCTTAATGGAATGAGATGGTACACATTTACATGTAGGCTAGTTCATTTTGTCCACCTTGCAATGTCAATCTTTTTAGTGTTATTAACATGGTTTTTACTTTTAATTGGTCGCATATTTTTTCACACTTCATTCTTCATCTTTCTTTATATGATTTTCCACAGGCTAGTGATATGTAGGTTCTATATAACTCACTTACCATAAGCTTCTCTCTATGCTGTGGATGGTACTTGTTATCTATAGATACCATTGTATTCAGTAAATAGTTCCTTTAATAAGCCTCTCAGACTAGCTGAACATATATATTGACAGGAACCCGTATACAAATAGCAAAGTTCCATACCTAAAACTGTTAATGCTGAATGGTTATCAATATCTTAGGGAACTCACTGTGGGAACATATCTAACATGGGGTAGATCTGTTCATCTTTTTCCTATGTATGCCTTTTAATGGTACTGTCATATTGATGCAGGTTGGTATTTGATAGAGAAACTGGAAAACCCAAAGGTTATGGGTTTTGTGAGTATAAAGATGAAGAAACAGCTCTGAGTGCTCGCCGCAACCTTCAGGGCTATGAGATAAATGGTCGTCAGTTACGAGTTGACTTTGCCGAAAATGATAAAAATGCTGACCGTAACAGGGAGCAGGTTGATACCCTTTAGCTGGTTACCTAGTAGGAGTATTTCAATTCTCTTTCAAAGTTCCCCTTTCGTGTCTCCTTGGGTTTTAACAGTGAGATTTATCTCAAAGGTTTATGGCCACCAGATGCTGTCATATTTGTGCCTACTGTCCCTTGCTATTAGTTATTTTTGCAGGCCAATTCGGGCATGTTGCTCCTTTGTACTAGTTCTTTTCTTCCTATTAACATAGGAACGAACTTTATTTTTCTTAATACATGAGTTGAGAATTAATTTTTGTCCGTGGAAATTAATATTTTGTTAAATAGCTTTTGAAGACTATTATGGCACATTTATTACCATTATTGAGCATGATATTACTATTTACTAATAAAGCAAAAGATGTACGTCCTCATAAATATGTTGTGCTTCTCTGTCTTCTGCTAGTATACATTTGATTGGAAGTTTCATCTGGCATTAGTTTTTTTACATTGTTGGTGACTGCAATTTTTAGAAGTACACTTTAAGATGAACTCATTGAGTAGACATCTAATCAGTATTATCTTTGCAGGGTCGTGGTGGACCAGGATTGGCGTCAAGTGCTGGTTGTCTTTCTCATTTCTCATTTTTAATTAGGTTTTTCGTGATTTCTTTTATTCTGTTTTTGTATGATTCATGAACAATTTCTTTGTTAAGATGCTTTTTCAAATATGGCAGATGTTCAAAAACAATTTAGTGGAGCCCCTATCTTGGGTGATTCAACTCTTCATCAACCACTAGGGCTTCCATTAGCTGCAACCGCTGCTTCTGTCATGGCTGGAGTTCTCGGTGGAGCTCAGACTTCTAATGCACAAAATGTGTTACAGAGCCAACCTGGAGTAGGAAATGATCCCTTGACTCACTATCTGTCTAGATTATCTAAACACCAAATGCATGAAATTATGTCTGAGATGAAGGTCACTTCTCTTTCTGTTTTCTTCTTTTAGTATTAATATGTTTGCAGTTAATAATCAAGTATTTTGTCTCATTCTGATAACAGGCCCTGACTGCTAAGAACAAGGCTCTAGCTCACCAACTTTTGCAAGCAAGTCCACAGTTGTCCAAAGCTCTTTTTCAGGTAATTCGTCTGGATTGAACTTTTGAATTCTTTTGCAATTGTTGGTGGCTGTGTTACCCAATTTGATAGGATGATCTCAAGTGAATATACATATGAATCCAGAAGTATGGTTTTGAGTTTTGAGAATTTGAAGCGACCCAATATCTATTTGTAATTTAATGACTAGGAAAAGATGCATTTCTTTCTTCTGTTAACTTGTTTTGGATCTCTATATTATAAGATGATCCTTTTGATATTGGTGGATGCTGATCATGGCTCAATATTCTTGTTTTAGCAAAGAGAGAACTGCTAGATTTTTCCATCAAGTTAGTGAATAAGTACAAGGTAAGAAGAAAATAAAAGGAAACAAACATGGAAGACAAGCTCCATATGCTTCTTCTTTTCATTTGATAGTTCCATTTGATTTATAATGAATCCACAGTACAAAATAGCAGCTGTAGAATATGTATTTCAATTCAAGCCCAGGCCTCCTTCAGCTAATGGTTTACAAACTGCCTTCCGGTTCATCGGCCCTTTATTTTTTGGTATCACTTCCAGACCATAAAATCTGTTGGCATCTCTTTTGAACCTCATTAATTACAGATTTAAGTAACATAAAAACTATGCTTCAATATACCTGCACGTAATATACCTGACTTAACAAGCTGCAACCTTCCTTCACAAGTAAGAAGTCTAGTTGTCCAGCTACCTAATTTACAGGTGATCTTTATATTTTGACCTTTAATTCCATACAAATCAAAAGCACAACCAAGTGCCTGACTGGTTACCATATCCTTCACCTCCTTAAATTCAGAGCTAGTATATGTCTTTTCACCCATTTGCCAACACCACCCAAAAATAAAGCACTCTTGTTCTTGTTCAAAGAAAGAAGCCTGCTGTAGTTGAGAATTCATACAAATCAAAAGCACAACCAAATGCCTGACTGGTACCATATCCTTCACCTCCTTAAATTCAGAGCTATTATATGTCTTTTCACCCATTTGCCAACACCACCCAAAAGTAAAGCACTCTTGTTCTTGTTCAAAGAAAGAGACCTGCTATAGTTGAGAATTTAGACAAATTAGTAATCAACATTTTTGTAGACTACTCATTCTCTCCACTTAATAGTAACAGATTATTACTGGCTGACTGCAAATGTTAGATTGGTGAGCTTCATCTTTCTACGCGTGGGATGATACTGAAATTCTGATGAGTCATTTTTCCTAATTTTCTGGACAAAACCTCCATTGCTAGAACAAAAGATCGAAGACATGAGATTACATTGTCTTAGACTCCCTTTTCTCATGAAAAAACCCACCAATGATATAAATCATGATGGTAAACTTGGGAGCTCCTTAGTTGCATGAGTTCAAATTGCGACTAAGTTAGAGATTTTCGTAAACCTATTACTGCTGTGGTTTCTGGGTGATGAAGGATACAACATGATGGCATCCTTGCTTTTGTTTATGTTCTCCTGCATTTAGAGTTATCTTTTAATTACTTTATTAATGAGATATCTGAAACTGAAATTCTGTTCTGTTTTTGTGCTGCAGGCACAGATAATGCTTCGCATGGTTACACCACAGATGGTCTGTCTTGTTAACCTTGAGATTAACTCATGATGGCAATATGTGGGCTTTATGCTAACATTAAATGCTTGTAACTGACCTTGACTACAGATGCAGATGGCAGGGAGTGGCCAATCATCAATTTCAACCTCTCAAATTTCATCCCATCTTGGGCAGGCATCTTCACAAACACTAGGTGGAAAGTTGTCTAAGCCACCTGAGACTCTAGTGCCAATCACATCACAGAGCCCCGTAATCCTCAAACAGGCTTCGTTACCTATTCAGCAAGTCCATGTTCAACCTCAATACCAGCTCCCACCACTGCCACAAGGTCAAGTGTTACAAGGAACTTTACCATCAAGCTGGCCTCAATCTATTGATGGTGTTCCACTTCAGCCTTCTCCTTTATCATCATCCATATGCCCGATATCACAGAGTCAAACCCCTCTTTCACAGCAGCCAGTACCAACTGTTGCAAGTTTAACGCATCATCCTCAGCTGGCACATCCAAATACTGCTCTGCAACAGGCAAACTTGTCACGCCCATCTATTTCTCAGGCAAGACTTTTCAATAAATAATGTTGTATTCATTATTTAATTCTATGTTCTTGAGCTCTACCAGGCATTATCAAGAATGGTTATCTTGATGAAAAAATAGAGAAATGTTATCTCATTAGATCAGGAAGTCCTGTCTTGTTTCTGCATGCAGCCTATCGATGGTTATTGCAGTCTGATTTCTCCTTAGGTTCAATGCTGATAGGAACTTCGCAGCCTGTCACACTCTTTGAGTTTTTGTGGGAATCCCCTCTTTGGCCTAACCGCTTTGGGAAGGAATTGAAGTCATTGGAAGGGTTGACATTAAGGCATTTTGTTGACCCTCTGTACTTAGACTTATAGTTAATAGATCATAGCCCTTGTGCAATTTTCTCTTGAATATCATAACCTTCAATGGGATTGCTGTGTGAAATTTGTAGTACTTTCTGGGTGATGATCAAATTATTCATGAACTTGACTTTTCTTTGGTAAAAGCAGCAGGAACATACATATGAATGCTTATTTCCTTGTTTAGTGTATTTGGCTTATTAATGGATTTGTTCATATCATGCATCACTTATTAAGTTTTCTATAGTACTGAGATGTGCCAGAATTATGTGGGGTTATTCTACTTTCTCACTGACAATATTACTGTTTCCTGATAGACTGGCTTGTCAAATGTTCAACCACCGTCAGTTGGATTAGAGACACTTCCAAGACAAATTTCAACATCTTCTGCAGATTCAGTCCGGACTTCAAGAATCAATACACAAAGTTTAAGTGGGGGACCAGCAGATCGAACAAGTATGGCAGCTCATATTTTGGAACCAATAAGTTATCCTCCTGCAAAATTACGAAGGTTAGAAGATGGAAGTGGTGCCACGCAAACATTGATCATTAATCCTGCTGTTAATAATGCTGCACTTCGAACACTTGGATCTGGCACAGTTGCTGGGAGTCAAACCATCGTAACAGATTCGGTTGGACATTCTGAGAAGCAGATGCCTCAGGTATATATACATCTCACCCATCTTGTTTCTATTTAGTCTTGTTTCAAAACTCATCATACTTTTAAATGTGAATTTTAAACTTTTCTCTATAAGCTAAATTCTTGTTTCTTACAAAAGACAAACCTGAACATCCTGAGTATACCAGAGAGAGCCCAAACACCACCCACCAAGTAACACCAACTAATTATAATTATAAATTTTCTTATGTTATATTATTATATCTAGATCTTTTTTCCTCATTTCTAACATGTATCAAGCATCTTGTAAAAATTTATCAAGGAATTTGTGTAGTAGCTAAGGCTTATGACAAGTAGTTCTCGTCTGTAGTGGGATGGCCTTAACCTTAAGGTTGTTACTTTTACATATTTGACCTCGAGTTATGAACTTCTGTTAGCAATTACATGGAAACCACGAGTTAAGGAACAATCATATGATGCAATAACTATTTGGATGTGACAAGGCCAAATGGTATCAATAATCAAAGGTGTCAATGTATGACTAGGCCAAATTTTGGTGTGTGTCAACGAGGTGTGCATGGTATCATTCTGTACCAGAAAGATATCAGTATGCCTTGACTCAAGAAATTGCGCTGTCACAACTTGAGATAAACTTGTGGGACTTTACGGCTGTCTTGTCCTGTACATCTCCTGGCTGTCTGCCAAGTCTCTTTCAAAAAGTTAATAATCATAAAAGAGTTTGACGGATCAGTTTCACCAATGCATGTAGGCTTTGATTAAATTGTATTGGGCTTCAAGCACATTCATTTTTGAACAGTCGACCTAACTAGTGAGGAGAATTCCTCACAAATTACTTTAAGCATATCGTATACTTGAAACTTTGTCTTTCCTATCATTTGTCGTACTATTTCACTCTGGTGATCATGTAGCCTATATGAGCAGTCTCCTCGTGTTTCTTCCCTCGATCTTAACATCCTATGATATTCTTTTGTGCAGATTCCACCTGAAGTAGAGTCAGCTCTACTGCAGCAAGTACTGAGTCTAACACCAGAACAGTTGAGTTCGTTACCGTTAGAGCAGCAACAGCAAGTGCTTCAGCTCCAGCAGATGTTATCAGCTAGCAAATAGTGTAGCTTGATTTAGCCGATCCCTCAGCCGTCCTTGTTGGTTGTGTTATGTGCATTCATTCTTTGATTTATAAGATGTTGGAGAGGAAGAGAAAGCATAAGGGTCTATCACCCACCACCTGTGGACCGAACAATGCAAGGTTTTGTTTCCTTGCTTACATGTAACACTAGGCGATAATTTATAGCCTTTGAATTCCTTTTTTTCTCTCTCCTTCCTTCCACCAGGTGGTGCCAATTGCTTAATGTTCAAAAATCTTACAAGGATTATGAAAGCAACAATGTTTGTGACAATGGGAGTGCTCTGTGTCTCTATTTTATTCAAGTTTCAAGATGTTCTTTCATCACATAATGTGATGATGCAGATCTTGCTTGCTTAGTTTAATATCTGGTGGGCAACCTTTTCTGTTGTTCTTGACCTTGTGATTCTTTTGTTGGTTGACATCCATCTGAACCCACTTCTGCTGTGCCAAGCTAAAATAATGCCTTTTGAGACATGAAATTGCTGGTCAGCATGAATTTATTAGTTTGCATTTCCTGGAGGAATAAAAACTTAATGATCAGTGCTGCTAATGAATGAATATACACGTGCGATTTATATGGAGTGAAAAGTTGTTACATGCTCCGATTGGAAACAACAAAAATGCATATTAACCAAATAATGAAAAGAAGCAACACTATATTTATAATTATTATAATCTCAACTAAAACCAAGTTGTACCGACAGGCAAACTCAACTGCAAGCATTCATCGTTGAGGAATCTGTGATCAGCACAGAGTCAAAGTTTCACCGGTCACATCCTTTCAATGGAATAATTAATTCGTTAACATCATTGAGTCTAAATTACTAATTTAAAATGCTTAAGATTGAATCTAAATCACTAATTTAAAATATTTAATCAAAATTTTATAGTAATTCACACATCAAACCATTACAAATCAATAATATTCTTAAGTTCCATCTTCCCCACTAAGAGTCAAACTCGGTCGGTTTAACTTCGTTAAATCTAAACTATGTCATAGTTAACAATAATATATCGATCAAATCCTTAAAAATCAATTTTTTTCCTATTCCATTTTTGATCTGAGACTAAATCGGAGTGTCACATTCCAAAATAAAACAACAATTCGAAAACAATTGTCAGACTAAATTGGAGTGTTACATTCCAGAATAAAACAACAATTCGAAAACAATTGTCAGACTAAATCGGGGTGTTACATTCCAGAATTAAACAACAATTGGAAAACAATTGCCACTCCACTAAATGGCAAAGTGATCAACCAGCATATAAATATATCAGATAATGACATTCACATACAAGCATCAAACTGAGGATTAAAAAACCCAGCCTTTCATATGGAAGAAGCGAAAAAAAGAAGCAAACAATCACCAAGTAGCAATGAACTGCCACATTCTGTATCCAGCTTTTTGAATGAAACAGGAGAAACTGATAAAAGAAACAATCGTCTCCAGCAGAAAAATACTAGAGGCAATGATGATAAGTTTTAATTTTCTTTTCTTAGTCGAATGATCTCTCTCTCTTATGCAGAGGCAGTCTTCCTCTGATGGAATGCAACCGCATAAAGTGGAACTGCCACTCGGATGCCGAAGCCAGAGAACACTCCCAAAGTCACCTTCAATTTCTGATTCTTCGTGCCATCCAGATTATACATGTGTTTCGCATGAACATAAAATGATTCTCTTCAAGCTAGCTGCATGAAATCCCCGAGTCACTGCCATAAAGTAAATCAATTTCTATCAGAAAATAGCGGCAATCAATCAAATAACACGATCCTCTGGTAATATAGTCAAGTAAAAAACATATTAAAGGAAAGACAGTGCAAAAGACTGAATCTATGAGAGATCATAAAGCTATATGGATCTCTGTCGAAACAATTCAAAAAGTGTTTTCCGCAAATCAACCTTTTATGAAGCTGGCTGTCAACATGACAAACCCTCTGAAATGGAGGGTCTGAATAATACCAATCCAGTGAGCATGAATGAGATTATCTAACTATTTTTTTCTCATTTCTAAACTGATAGAACTAAACATTTTAAGAGTGCATTATCTCAAGTGGAGCCTTTCCTGCCACTCCATATTCCCATTTACACACAAACACAATTGGATAAAAAAAAGGGGCATTTTGTTGCAAATTTAATCCAATTCCAAAAATTATTGATATTCATAGTAAAAATAGAAGAAAGCACATATTTGTAACATATATTCCTGTCTCCTTTACTCTTTTTGCTTGCAGTTTAGTATATGTCATCAGTTTGGGCACAGTATAAAGAAACATTAAGTAATTTCCACAAGAAGAACAAGTTCAGGCTATCTTTGTCAATGAGACCACAAAGATGGAATAAATCGGGATCAAAACCATCAACTTGACGACAGAGCCGACCAAAAAGGTAACCTCTTATTGGCTCTTTCTACTCCACTAACACGGATGCAACAAGATGCCATGTTTCAAACGTGATTTCTTTCCGTAATGAACATCGAAGAGGACAAGGAAAGCAACCAATCAAAGGGTACGGGCACAAGAACCGACCAGGACCAAAAATGCCCCAAAAGAAACCCCACATCGGGATTCAGGACGGATAAAAGGGCTCCAAGCCCTAATTTGAGCAACCCAGTCTCCTCCATTGGGACTCGACAGTGGAAAGGGAGAGGAACTTGCCTGACCTAGCAGCTTCGGCGTGCGACAAAAGCTTCAACCCGCTTCAGATTCCGCGGCTCGATTCCGGCCGGCGCCGTCGGTGAGATCTCTTGAGCGTTTTCCCCAAAACAGATCAATAACCGCCGACCCGATACCAAGAGGCCGGTTCGGGTCCCGGCGCACAAAACCGCCGATGCGGAGCACCAATCGATGTGCATCGAGATCCGTGATAGAGTTGATGCGGTGCACACCCAATCTTATTACCAGTCCTACAAAGTGCATCCGTGCGGAATCCGAAGTCATGCGAGTGCAAATACGTGCGATTTCTCGCCCGACACCACAATCTCATGTGACTCGACCTGAACCGACCTACTCGTGGTCGAGATTGGATCTGCTCGAACTCAGGCCGAGTCGCAGTAATTTAAATGAACAAGAAAAAGAGATAAAAGAGACGAACGTTTGGAGATGCAGCAGCATTTGGTCTGCTGTTCTAATCATGCTATTTATCTCTCGATAACACTTGACGTTGAAGAACAACCTACATTATTTATTTCGAAAAAGGACTTGACTCCTAATTGGATTTTATCTTATGGTACCGAAGGAAACCACCGTCGTCAAATTCTCCAACTTCTATTTTATTTTCTTTTTTGGTAAACAAAAGTACATAACATTGATTTTTAAAAGCTTATTATACATATATAGGTTTGAGATTTATGATACCTCAGCCAAAAAAATAGTATTATGATATTGGAACAGCCAAATGAACCATCATGCCGTTGTTGCCATGAGTAATATAAAGCCCACGTGACAAATCATATTCATGATAGCCTCTCCCACTTTCTTCTGCTTTGAGATGCGCACTTCCATCGGAATCCAACGGTGATGATGCGTCTTCTTCCGCGTCCGTTATTTAGATCTCGTCATGAGCGAGCTCTCGTTAAGAGAGAGCTCTTCCCTCCCACATCGCAACAAAAGAGGACGATAACGAACCTTTCTTCGGAGGAAACGCCGCCGTCCTCCATGATCTCCACCGATCCGACGGCCGGATCCACCGAGGAGCACCGTCCCGCAAGCCACCGTGTCCGAAACCGATCGCGCTCCCAGCCCCGGTTCTTCTCTGGCTCCGCCTACCCCTCCCCATGCCCCCGCTCCTCCGCCATCCCATTCTCCTGGGAGCAGCGCCCCGGAATCCCCAAATCCCTCTCCCACACCGCCGCAACTGAGGACGTCTCTGCCCTCCCCCTCCCTCCCCCCGCCCGCTCCCGCTCGGAACTCTCCACCACGCGCAAGAAGCGCTCCGCCGCCTCCCCCGACCCGTTCGCTGCCGCGCTCGCCGTCTGCTCCAATGGCCTCCCCCACGACGGCGATGACGTGGGCGAGCTCTGGTTAGCGCCCGACGCCGCGCCACAGAGGGCGGCCTCCATCGCCGACCGGTTCCGGCTCTTCGACTTGTACGGCTCCTGCAAGGCGGCGTGCTCCGTCGTGGACGCTACGGTCCGCCTCCCTCGGACCGGGTCGTTGCCTTTCCCCGGCCGCCGGCCCGGCCCAGACAACATCTGACTCCCTACTCGTCCGGCTCGAGGCAAGTACATAAACTATTCCCCAAATTAGGTGTCAAACAATTCTGTTAATCTAATTAATTACGCGTTTATGGTTGCTTCCAAAGAATGGAATACTGTGGTTTACATGTCGACAATGTTAAATGGTAGAATCGATTTTAGGATCACAGCAGAGTGGGTGGATGGGCTCAAACTTAGAATGATGGGTTGGCATGACTGTCAATTTGAGGATAATTTACTACACTAAGGAGATACTTAAGAGGAAGTAATTGAGTGAGTGATTAGTGAAGCACAATATCTTATAAAATTAAAAATGAAATAATAAAGTAGTTTAATCGTCTAAAACAGCCTTCTTTAGCTGACATGTGACAGTAGGAAGTGGTAGGCTCAACATCTATTTCTTTTTTCTTTTGATAGCTCAGTGCGATGATTGTTAAGTGGAGCAAGTTGGAGGATCGAGGTCAAACTATGTCATCAATGCCAGATGGGCTTTTCAAGTAAGAGGGCCGGCATCAAACTAATAAATAGATCTAGATTTTAATGGAATTATGGGGGTTCTCAGTAGTCACTAAACTAGTAGGCTGAGGTATTTGATCATAACTATTATGTTTTGTTTTGTGTTGAGTTAGAAGGATAATGTGAATGGATGTTGTGGTAGTATGCATTAAGCTCTTTAGACTTGATGTACAAAAAGAATCATAATCGAGGAAATTGGGAGTATAATCATGCATGTAATTATGGTGTTTCACTAGATTGGACATCAGGTTCTTATCAAAACCCCTCGATTCTTACGTGTCCGTATGTGTTGTGGGATAGCGTACAGTAATGAAAACGACAACTTGATGTGTCTGCCAATTATCATTGGACCACTTATGTCTGTGGATTGTGTTGGCTCCTTTAGGAGTACAATATCATGCCAAGACCAATACTAAATGATTCATCTTGTTATTGTTTGTTCGCATGAAAAGATCTGTAGCTTCGATGCGTGCTTGTTTGTTTTTCCTATATCTCTTGTTCCATTAGTTGACCTTTGGATTTTGTTGGAAAAAATTATTATTATAAATTTTTTTTTTCTCT